GGTTGTGAGAGAAGGAGAACGAAGAGAGAGAGAGGAGTACGAGAGAGTTAAAGAGAGAGAGAGAGAGAGAGAGAGAGAGAGAGAAATGAGAGTGAGATTGAGAGTGACGTGGGGGATTTTTGAGGAGGAGTTGGGGGAAACACGAGGTGATGGGAGTGCGGGATTTAGGGAGTGAATTGGGGAAGTGGGGTAGGGGAGAGAGAGAGATGAAGAGAGAGAGAGAGAGATACAGAGTGAAATACCGGTGAGAAGAAAAACATAGAGAAAAATACCCCTTTAAATAATTTAAAAATATCATAAAATTTATTCAAATAAATATTAAAATTTATGGTTAAAATAACAATAATGAATAATTAACTATTAATTTAAAAATTTTACCGAAACAATTAAATTTATAATTAGCAAAACCATTAAAATAAAATAATACCGTATTTTTAAATCGTAGAAAATTCTAGAAAAATTGAAAAAAATACAAATACTCTTTTAGAAAAATAATATTTAATATTTAAATACTAAGAAATTATTTAAACCCGTATTAGAAATTTACGGTCATTACAAATATCAAGAACCTGAAGGTTAAGATGTAACCCGAAGGTGTTTTTTTTACAAGACAACTCACAGATCTGATTCAAATCCGAAAACAAAAAGAGAGCGGCGAGCGGCGGGCATGGCGGCGGCGAGCGGCATCGGGTGGGAGTTGTCGCGTCGGGTGAGAGAAGCTCGAGGACGAGGACGTGGATCAGATGGACGAGGACGAAGAGTTGTCGAGGAATATGATGGCGATGATGATGGTGAGGACGAGAAAGATGAGGACGGTAAGGCGGCTGTAAGGTTTTGACGGCTAGGGTTTTGTTGGCTAGGGTTTTGGAGAGAGGCGGCTAGGGTTTTGGAGAAAGCGGATATGGTTTTGACAGCTAAGGTTTTGGAGAGAGACGACTGCCTAGGGTTAGAGTTAGGCTTAGGAATTTGGATTAGTATTAGGGTTAGGGTTAGGAATAGGCTCTGATACCATGTTAAAATTTGGAGAGAAAAAAATTTCTTGGGAGAGTTTTCCCTCACTCTATATTTTATGATTTATAGAGATGAATTAGTTATAAATTAGTCTCACAGACAATGTGAGACTAAACTAATATTCATACTTTCTTCTAACAACTACCAAACATAAAAACTTGTGCTTAGTACAAATTACCTCCATATTGCTCTCTCTATATATTATCACACTATTATGGAGATCAATAAATAGAGCCCTTCACCTTACAAACCACACTGGGGATGCGGGTAGGTACTTAAGCAGTACTCAAACTTACACCTGGATCAGTGTTCTCAACTAGTAGAAGGCATCTCGTGTCTGCTAAAAAATTTTATTCTTATTTTCTTCTGTGCAAGATTCCTTGTACCCAACAAGTCTCATCATATCCCTGTTTAGCGTAGGCCACAGCACAGAAGAACCCGTGTGCACAGCACATGGCTCTATTCATTCCTCACCGACAGCACCAGCGTTTTGCACAGCCAGAATCAGCCCCCTCCTTGGCTTGGGGTCTGCCTTCTTCGTCCAATCAAATCAGTGGGCCTCTCTTTCTACAGTGTAAAAGTCATTGCACCAGGAAAATGGTCTGAAATTGACCTTAATGGACCCAATTGAATTCGACAACGCTGGAATCTAATCTTTTGCTTAGTGAAGATTGGGGCCTCTAGTTATAAAGGACTACGGATTGATTGGGATAACAGCATGAAGAGATCCTTGCCCTCCAATCAGATAGATCTCTGTGTTGTGGTGATTGGACTTGGTTCTAAGATTGGAATTCTGGTGGAAGTTTGAGGAGCTCACCGCTCAGGAACTCAAATGTTTGGTTTTGAGCTGACAAAGTCAATCCAAGTGGGAAACAGTAAAGTTGCAAATAGGCTTAGCCATGTTTATAAAGTCTTATAGACAAAAATTCAAACTTAAATAATTATTCACCATCAATTTTAAGATTCAAGTCTTATAGTATTTTATATAGAAATGATGTTAGCAATACATGGCAATACTTAGGGATTGCAGAGACTATTTCTAATTTATGTGTTTGACAGGAAGGTTCAGTAGACTATACATTCTAGATATTTGCTATACAGAACTGATCAGGTTTATAGTTTTTCTGAGTATTAAATCTAAACATGGTATAACTCCAAGGTTGAATGGTCAACACTCAGAATTAGACCAGGTTTATATTAGTTTGTGGGCCCTAACAATTTGAACTATTAGGGTATATACTAGAGGCAAACTGTCTTTTAACTTGTTCAAAATACTTCTAATTAGGTTACTACGTTAAGAAGATTCTTGAGACTCTTCAGTCAAAAATAGATTCTAATCAAACTCTTCACACTCCAATACTTAAAACCCTTTTCCATCTGAACATAGCATGTCCTTCAGATATTTATTAGCACCTTATTCAAAGAATATTTTAATCTTTCCGGTTTATCTCTTCTAACTGGACTACTCATTGAAGTATTCTTTTTGTCAGTTACATATGAATAAGAATTACCTTTTACAATATGACTTCTATGTCAATTCAGGCTTTTGAAACATCATCATATTAGTAGGTTCCCCCAATAAGTTCGACAGCCGATGGAGGATCGATAAAAGTTAATGCCTGGAACTAGAATCCAGCAAACTGCCAATTTGCTGCACCATGTTTTTCAGGTAATGAAGAACCTAGCAACCACCCAAGGCTATTATATTCCAATGCCTTTTGCATTCACCATTGCAATGGTTCTGTTCTCAGATATTCTGCGATCAAAATGATGGGTATGGACCACAGCAGGCTTGTTAGGTCATGGAGAAATCAGGTTCCCAATAGATAACAGTTTCAGTTCCCAAGTTCTCTCTCTTGTCACAGGTTCCAAATTCCATGGAGTTTAGCATCTCTGATTTACTGTTGCTATCTTGAGGTATGTTGGTATTCCCCTCAAATTTCAAAAGGAGGTAGATGAAACGCAAGTTGACCATAAAAGTTTAAAGGGTGCATGCATTGGAAACTTGAAAATTGCCAAGAGTATTAATTGGTCATTGAAAATAGTAAAGAATAAAGCCTATAAAAAAGGATGTGTTAGTGTTGAGAAATTCATCCTCTTTGTGAGAAGGAAGACCCTCTTTGAACTCTTTTGAGTGATTGGTGTTATTATCCTCTTTGAGTAATATAGCGTGATGGTTGGCCTTGGAGCTTTTGAGTGATCTATGTTCTCAGGTTCCTTGACATATATGAGATGTGCGGGGGTTTTCAAGTTTGTCCATGCAAAACTTGTATCATTTGTATGGAGTATACTAGTTTGTTAAAGTAGCGGATGAGAGATCGTGGATGTAGGCATGTTTGGGCGAACCGTTTAAAAATACTTTGTGTTGTGTTGTGTTGGTGTTTGTGTTCCTTATTGTGTGTGTTGCTTGTGTGCTTCATTAATCCCCAATAGTGGTATCAGAGTTAAGATCATCAGAGTTTATGAGTATGGTGGAGCATACTGTAGGGAGGAGTTTGTCAAGCACAATGGAAGGGGTCATTTGCAAAGCCGTTATCCAAAGTTGAACAAATATATTGTTGAATGAAGTGATTGCAACATTGAAAGTGGTATCCCCATGGAGATGGCTGACATTGAACGAAAGTTCTAAGACGTGCAATACATACGAGGCTTAGAGCAGCGATGACTCACATTGAGGAGCTTTCAAGAAAGTGTAGTGATTGGATAGCAGTGTATCAGTGGGCAAGGGATAGCGGACGGTGGCAGTGAGCTTTAAAGACCAGCTATGGCAATTGGTAATGGAGGACAATCGTGAGGGCAACTCACAAATATCGATAGAGGAATGACGACCGATAGAGATGTGATGACGAGCAGTGATGCGTGGTCAATGTTAGCGACAGTCGATGACATTGAGGTGTTGGAGATTTGTTTTGAGGGAGGATATGCTGGGATTCTCCATAAATCTCAAAATGATATAGATGAAAACATGTTGACTATAGAAGCTTGAAAGGTGCATGTATTGGAAGCTTGAAAGGTTCTCTTGAAAATTGCTAATAATATTAATTGGTATTTTTGAAAATATTAAAGAAAAAAGGCTATAAAAAGGGATGTGTTAGTGTTGAGAAAGTCATTCTCTTTGTTGTAGAAATGGCGAGCATATGGAGAAGACTGCTTGGACAGGCATGAGTGTGCTTTTGAGAGTTTGGCGATCGGCTGCGGGATTCTGGCGGTCGACCGCATTCATGGACAGATCGTTTCTGAGCTTCTGGGAGTTAGCGGTCGACCTGGCGGGCGAA